ATAATTAAGTAACTTCTTATGCATTATTTTCCTACCCTGTAATGTTTCTCTTGGTTTATCAATGTCGAGTGTCGACACACTCCTGATGGAAGACAGATATCTGATTATAGCAGAGAACAATGCCACCAAACAGATAAGATAAGAATCATGCATGTGTGATATGGCCTTTCAACTTCAGCCCATGTTGTGGGAATTTATTTCTTTTGGAGTGCTAGCTGTGTGAGTGAGTGCGTGATAATGTTTCTTCTGTGGTGCATAAGAGCAAGTCCACGTAGCCACCAATTGATTGCATGGCTATATGAAGATCCAGGCAAAGTAGCACGTGTTTGATTTGTACATGTGCTTCGTTGATTTAATTACAATCACAAGTGCATAATAATTTAAACGATTAAATAGTTTATATTATAATATTTTTATGAGTTAATATTTAAATTTATAAATATAATTTTTTTTAATTTAATCAACAGCAAAATATTATATATATATATATATATATATATATATGATGAGAGATCCTTTTACCTACGAGTAAGTCTACCTAGACTTACTCCGTTCAATAATTCATGTTCTACATCAAATTTTAACGATCCAACCGTTCAATTTAAAGTTCTTAATGCATAGATTAAATCTGCAAATTTTTAAAAAATTTAAAAATCATTTGATACTTCGTTTCATTAATTCGAATCAATCTATAAAATGATTTTATGATTATCTGTCAATTTGAATTAATGAAATGAAGTATCAACTGATTTTCAAATTTTCTAAAAATTTACAGATTTAACCTATGCATTAAGACCTTTAAATTGAATGGTTGGATCGTTAAAATTTGATGTAAAACATGAGTTATTGAACGGAGTAAGTCTAGGTAGATTTATTCCTAGAGTAAAAAGATCTCTTATATATATATATAGGGAGCATATCAAGTAAGAGAGAATTTATTATGAGAGATGAGAGGGTTAAAATATAACTCTTAGATTAATTTTCTCTCATTTGATTAAATCCCAAATTTTCTCTCACTTAATTAATTTAAGAGTTATATTTTAACTCTCTCATCTCTCATAATAAATTCTCTCTCACTTGATGATATGCTCCTTCTATGTATATATATATGGGAAGAACTACACGGATGAATTTAGAGGGTGCAGGCAGGACCTTGGCCCCCTTCCTTAAAATATTGATTTGTTAAAAGAAAATATATAATATATTTTAATATAAATTGTTAAAAAAAATAAATTTAATTGAAAAATTTAACATTTTAAAGTTTTAATAAGCTTTTATCTATATATATATATATATTATTAAAAGTAGAATAATTTTGTTTAAAATTTTTTCGCTTAAACTGCACAGTTTAAATCCGTTTATTTTCTAAAAGTATTATACTTTTTAGAATTCAAATATTTTATATATATTAGTTATAAAACTAGATTAATAGTCTTTAATGAATTTAATGATGATTTTTTATATCAATTATGTATTTTCAATGATTTTTAGTACATAAATAATTTCTATTTCACTCTATATTCTCCTCCTTCATTTACTACTTTACTCTATACTAATATTTTAAAAATTAGACCAATAATCAAATTGATAAAAATATTTGAACCGATGAATCATTAATTAAATTATATAGTTCAAGTTTTATTAATATTTTAAAAATATTTATATCATATATTTTATATTTATAAATTTTAATAAAATTTATAGCACATTTTAAAGAAGTTCAAAAAATATTTCACAACAAATTTTAACATAATTTCCCACGGATATATTTAGATAAAGGATAATTCTAAAAGTTAGATTTAGATAAAGGATAATTGTAAGGAATTATAAATTTTAAGAATTTCAAATTTTCAAACTCAAATGAAGATTTTTCATTTTTAAAATCTCATTTATGTATTGCGGGGAACCAAAAAATAATATAAACCCTAGTTGACATGGGACAACATAAACTGGATAATGCACAGGTTTTTATTTTTTTTGGGTTCAGAAATGAATACGGAAAAAAATGTTGAGTCCGAGGCCCAACATAAACTGGATAGTGCACTCTTGTATGCCCTTTGGGCTTCTGTTTCTCGTTTTTGAGCCATTTGCCTTACGTGTAATGACCGAAATCAACAGAACTTCAAAAAATAGCGTAAGCACTATTATAGTTAGGAAATTGGAAAACTAAAAAAGCACTTGCACCAGCCGGGAATCGAACCCGGGTCTGTACCGTGGCAGGGTACTATTCTACCACTAGACCACTGGTGCTTTTGCTTAGCGTGCCTCATATTTTATATAATTAATTTATTAAATCTCTGATTCTTACTATCAATATTATAGCTTGGTTCATTCACCTTATATGTAAGGTTACACTTTTAGGATGTGTGTGAGCAACATAAAAACAAGAATTACTAATTATAACTTTATATAGGGAGGAAGGATCTAAGGAATGTTTATCAAATTGGATCAATTTGATGAATTATATTATTTAAATCAAATCAATTAAATTGATTTAATTTTTTTTGATTAGGTATAACCTAAATTAATTAACTTTGATATTGATTTGTTCTGATATCAAATTTATACATTTAAAATTTGAACCAACCTGAATCAATAACTTTAAGAGTAAATTTAAGTAGATTTAATTTACTTAATAATTAATGTTCTACATCAAATTTGAGTGATTTAACTGTTAAATTAAAAATTCTTAATACATAAATCAAATTTATAAATTTTTAAAAATTTAAAAATTATTTGATATTTCATTTTATTGATTGAAATTGACAAATAATAATAAAAATATTTTGTATATTAATTTAAATCTATATAATAAAATATCATATGACTCTCGAGTTTTTATATATTAAAAAAAATTAATTTAATAGTTGAATCATTAAAATTTAAAACATAATTTTTAAACCAATACACAAAATAAAAATATTAATTTACCATATAAGTTTTAGCAATATAAAATTATTCATATTTGGTATTACACGTATTAAAATTCTAGTTAACTATAATATGAACGAAAGAATTGCCGTCCTCCAAGAAAAAAAAAAGTAAAAGAAAGTAAATAGTAAACTCATACTAACATGTCAAAAATAATAAGTTGAACAAATAGAAGGAGATAGACATCGATATAAGGATTGATAATAGCCATAGAAGGTTAATATATATTTATTTAATTTCCTTGGCGATAAGCACGAAAACCAGCAAAGACCAATCCCTTTTATCAAAGTTTTTTGACTAATCTGAAGATTACTACATTAATTGTTAGCACAGCAATGCATTACGGCAATATACCACTATTAACTAATTAGATTGCTATTTTTTTTAATGAATAATTGGATTTCTAACCTTGAATCAGCATTCACCATTACCACCCATTACCATTAGCTCATATGTTCTTCATTTAAAGTCAGGAAAATACATGAAGCAATTGTCTTACAATAAGGAATTAAAAATAAAAATAAAAATAAAAATACATTATATACTACCCTTTCTCTCTCTCAATATATATAGGAGTGAAATTAAATAACCTTGTTATAACTTTAACAATTAACAACTATTACATGTATGTATGTATGTTTGGATATCCGTTTTAAAGTATGAGAATGTATGTTTACATGAAATCCAAAAAATAATAAGACTATTGCTTTAAAGTGAATTCAACTTTTATCATACATAGGCATGACAATTTAACCTATTCCCGTGGGTACCCGCCCGAACTCGCCCTGATTTGGATGAGGAAAATTCGTGTTTATCGAGTTCGGGTTCGGGTTCGAGTTTTCCCTGATTGATAAAATCGGGGGCGGAGATGTTAATACCCACCTCGCCCCCGCCCCCATACCCGCCCCCGCCTTATTTGCATAAATTTTAAATATATTTTATATGTTATAAGATATGTATTTAATTTTAAACATAAAGTTATGTATTTTATATGTTATAATTTGTATTAATATATAATTTTGATTCTATTAATTTAAAATAGAGTTATTTAGAGAGATTAAAATTATATATATGATCGAAATTATAATTTAGTCATTTACAATTTAAAATTATTTATTCATGATCAATATATCATGCAATTACAAACTAAATATTAATTTATTATTAATTATCAAAATGATTTTAATTTTTTTTAAACACTATAAGACCAATTGATCACACTCAAAGTAGTGAATTTCAACTTTAAAGTAAATTTTAAACATTATAAAACCCTAAATAATCAATATCTCATGTTTAATGTTCATCCGCATCACACTCAATAGTCAATGTAATGATTTCAAAGTAAACTTTACTTATATCTACAACCCTTATTGTAGAAACTCGTTCATTACTATGCTTACAAAAATTCTCACCTAAAGATTAGAAAAAAACAACACCAAATCCAACTCAAACTTAAAAAATTTTAATTTATCATGTGTTTGAACCAAATTTAAAATGTAGAATAACATTCTTTCTCCATAATTAACAGCAACAACAACAAAAAAAAATTCCTTCTTCAATTAACATGTTTCTAACCTGAAAATTCCATTGTACATTCAAACATTCCCCTATATTTCACTTCCAAATAACTTTAGATCGAACCAAATCGATAATCGATTCTAAGGAACAAGTAAACCCTAAAAAAAAAGAGGTTGGGGTAGGGTAAGGTAAGGGTAACTAAAAGGGGTGATGCATTTGCAATTGAAAAGCTAGAAGAGGACACGTGGCCAACGTTGCTGTCATCGCTGGAACGATGTGGTCCCCACACAGAGGCCACGCGTTTCGCGGATTTCTGCTTCTCAAGTGCGTGTCACGTGGCCCACACTTTCCTTTGTCGATAACCTCACTCCCAAACCGGCTGTCTCCGGTTACCCTCCCCCGCCACCGGAAAACCCGGTTTCCCGCTCCACGTGTCCGCGCGGACCCCACAGGCAGGTGACGTCATCATTACCCTCGTCTCTCGAAGCGGAAAAATAAAAATAAAAATGCGCTTTGAGGACTCGAGACTTTAAAAGACCAAGACCAAAGACTTTGTGAGAGAGTGTTATTGTTATTGTTGTTGTTGTGTTACGATTCTTCTTCCTTTTTAAAATTAAAAAAAAAAAAGGTTTTTTAAAATGTCTGTTTCGGATTTTTTATTTTGATTTTCTCTATTATTATTATTGGCGTTGTTTGTTGCTATTAATTAAATTCTGGTGCTAAATTGAGAGAACTGTGGGTGTGTGTGTGACAGAGAGAGAGAGAGAGAGAGAAGAAAGAGGAATCAGGTTAGCTCCTTTGAATTTTCTATCAGAATCTGAGGACCCAAAATCTAGGGTTTTCTGTTCTTCCTTGGGTAAGTGAGGGCTCTGATTTCTTTGCTTCGATTGGTTTGGGGGTTTAGTTTGATTGCGTGATTCATTTTTTCCCTCAGTCTTGTTTGGGGATTAGGGTTTTTGGGTTCGTTCTTCTGGGCTGATTTTTTTTTGGAGATGAGTCGGAGAATTCTGTGATTGTTTGGGTTGTGATGTGAGAATTCTTGAATGGAATCACGAAAAGTTTTTTTTTTTTTTCGTGGCGGGAAGGGAATTTTATCTGTGGTGGGGTTGGTTGTGAATGTGGGAAGAAAAGGGGGAGAATTGGGGGTTTTGAGGTGGTGTTAAGTAACAATTTTGGTGAGAATTTTTGAAACTGAGCTTCGTAGGTAGTGTGTGGTAGGTTGTCTGGCACTGACCGACAGTTAGACTGCATATGTTGTTGATGTGTGCTATGGTTTTCCTGTGGTTATGTTTGGTTGTCTGTTTGACTAAATATGGCCTAAGATTTTTTAGGCTAGTGTTAGTTCCCCTGGTTAATTATCTTTCTATAGCTTTAACTGTTATTTGAAAGATGCTACCTTTCAAGAGTTTTGCAACTCTAGTGTATGGCCTAGAGAACACAAAATGCATACCAGTTTTGTATCTTTTGGCTGGTTAAGAAGAATTGTTTACTTGCTTGTTTTTATGATGAATCTTTCACTTTGGGGGTGGGGGGTATTTTGAATTTTTTTTCCCAAGATTGAATTGAACCTTATGAAGCTTGTGAATGTTGTTTTACTGAGAGTTGGGTTTGTTTTAATGTAAGGAATAAGATTTGTGTATCACTGTGTATGTTGCTTTTGTAGGGATCTGAAGGCATGCAGTCCAAGTCTGAAACTGCAAATAGACTGAGGTCAGATCCTCATACCTTTCAGTCTGGTGGTGTTTATTCTGAGCCTTGGTGGCGTGGTATTGGGTACAATCCCTTGGCCCAAACAATGGCTGGGGCAAATGCGTCCAATTCGTCGTCTCTTGAATGTCCTAATGGTGATTCAGAATCCAATGAAGAAGGCCAGTCATTGTCCAATAGTGGAATGAATGAGGAAGATGATGATGCCACTAAGGATTCACAGCCTGCTGCTCCTAATGAACCAGGTGCTTTAGAGTGTCATGGAACCATTTAAAGACAAATGATGAAATTAGGGAACATAGTCAGATGAATTAGCACTTCAAATTTTATTTGATGTACTTTTTTTTCATTCTTCCAAGTATTAATATATTTATTTTTATTTTTCTTTGCAGGAAATTATGGGCAAGAACAGCAAGGGATGCAGCACACAGCATCATCTGCACCTTCCATGCGCGAAGAATGCCTTACACAGGCGCCACAGCTGGAACTTGTTGGTCATTCAATTGTTAGTATTTTTTCCTTAATTGTTATCACTGTTTTAACATATAGACATGGTCCAAATATCAATGATTTTGTTCTATAGTGTAAATTGTTGCTGATTCATGCATATCATTTTCATGGTAAATCTTTGTTATAGAACTTATAGTTGCATGCCTTTGGAATGGATTGGACTCTTCAAATTCTTTTGATGCAGGCATGTGCTACAAATCCTTATCAGGATCCGTATTATGGGGGCATGATGGCAGCTTATGGTCACCAACAGATGGTATGTGACATTAATCTGTGTTAAGGTTATTACATAGTATAACAATTACTGATTTGCAATTTTCACAAATTAGTCTGATAAGAAATGTGGTCAGTACATAATCTTTAAGGGAATAATGATAAATTTGTTTCATTTTGTTTTGTCTATTGTCTTGTTTATAGCATTGGTGATATTTGGATAACTGAGAGATAAATAACAATATGATATTTTTATCATTAGGGATATGCTCCTTTTATAGGAATGCCTCATGCCAGAATGCCTTTGCCGCTTGAGATGGCTCAAGAGCCTGTGTATGTTAATGCCAAACAGTACCAAGGAATTCTGAGGAGAAGACAGGCTCGTGCTAAAGCAGAGCTTGAAAAGAAGCTAATAAAATCTAGAAAGGTAAAATGCATCAGAGCTATCTTTAATCTTTCTGCATATTTGTTTTTTTTCCTGCTGTAGTAATTTGGGCTAGTAATATCTTACCATATTTTATTATTTGGGCAAGTAATATCTTACCATATTTTATTTTCAGCTATGTTGCCTTTAACTGCACTAGTGAACTAAACCTCATTACTCTCCTTTTGCTGATCTTAAAACAAAAATCATTGGGACAAGAATAAATTTTAACTAACCAGTGAAGTTTATCCACCTAGGATACTATGTAAGTGAAACAGAAGCCTAGCAATTTTCGGACCTTATAAAATTTAATTTTCCTTGAGCTTAAATCTTTAAAACTTGTTTGGATCTTGAAAGACAATAAGGTTGCTGCAGGATCAGTGGCTAACCTGACTAGCTTATTTCTCATATCCAGTCCATCTCCCCATGCAAATCCATTTTTGGGCAATATTCTGCTTTTGAATTCCTCTGTTTTATAGCTGTTTTGTAGTAAATAAGCCAGGGATCTATTGTACACTTTGTAAGTCACCTAGCTACTTCGAAATTTTTTGTTCATTTATATTCCATATGAATGTGATTGTGTTTGAAAGGGCATAACATGCTCACAGACATTGTATATGTTTAGGTGAAAATTTTGGAATGTGAGATTCCTGTTGTAATACTATACCATTGTCTACCGAAAGATCAGTTTTTTGTTAGTGTGTAGTTCAAGATGTTTGTGCATTAATATCATTTTCAGTAATGTCTATTTTGTCCATGATTATGTTTGATTAATGATGCAACAAATTGATTCTCCTTTATTCCAAATTTGGAAGTTGGAACAATGAAAATCTTCATGAACATGTTCCCTATGCCGAAAATCATAAATTGTAAATAAGGAACAACTTGTAATTTATCGTTTACTACGAGTACTACTGCCTTGCTTAATCTTTTTGGGATCTCTATTGGGCTATGCTAACTTCTGTTCTACACAGCCATATCTGCATGAATC